GTATAGTTTTTCCTGTAATTTTTGCTCGTTTTCTTAGTCATTTGTTGTACTTTAAGTTATCGTTTTTGTAAGGCTTTCGGTCCGCGTTTATTAATTCTGTATTTTCTTTTTCTTTTTTTGCTGTAATTGTTCTAGTGAATCGAGAAGTAAAAGTCGAATTCAAACTGTACGAGAGTGTTTTTTACAATTATTATTACATTCTAGAGAAATAAAATCTACTAAATCTTGTAGAATGATGCCAAAATATGTGTTAAAAGCAAATTGAGCAATTCTTTTCTATTTACTTTGAAAATATAATTACATTTGGCGAACCCTCTTTTATCAAGATGAAAACTAGCCAAAAAATAACCTTTAATCTAAGTATGTGGTACTGAATGAAATACGTCGAAAAATCTGGATTTCGAAAACCGAATAATCGTTCTTTTACATATCCAAAGGATTTTTTCTGGAAATGATTTAGCGGGAAGAAATTCAATTTTAAAGTTGGATGCAATGCCCTGTTTTAACCAACCTTTCAATTTATGTAATAAACACACAGAAATACAAGTTTTCCAAAGATAGCATTTAATCAAAAGCGGGATTGACGTAAAAATTTAACCAACATGTTTTAAAATCAAAGACATAGATTGTTTTTCTGCCGTCCCTTCGTTTGATACAAAATTCAATCAAACTACAAGATAATTTGTCAAGATAACGCAGCTGTCATGTTTGTTTACACTCGAGCGTGAAGACTAGACGTGAGATGTTTGTTGGGAAGTTTTCCCGACCAATTATCTCTGAATTTAAGATCAGAGATCAGATTTAAAAAGTTATTTCCGTTTGCCTTTCCTCCAAAATCAGTTTGGAACTAATAAGGAAACCAAAGGCAAACAATTTAACGAGCCGTTTGTTTCAAATTGATACATTGAAAACGTGCCTTAAATCTGTGACAATTTCGCACAAGAATCAAATCTTTTGATCATGAAATTAAAGGGTCTTTTGACCTTCTTTACCAGCATATGAAGACTTCCACATTTTCATAGTATAATAGCAACTTACATTTTCCTTGCGAACGTAGCCAAAACGGAGCTGGGCGTTCTCAGCAAGTTAGATTCGCAGAACATGTATTTATGGCAACTTAACGGTTGCGTGACCAAATTTTATTTCCGGAATTGAGAGCGGAAGTTTATGTGCACGGACTTTTTGTGACTGGAAAATCATGAACCCTTTATAGAGTGCTTTCACATGACGTCATGGCGGCCATATTGGTGTCCCAAAACAATGAAACCGCGGCCACGATGGTGTCCCAAACCAATCCTGTGGGAGTTTAACTCTTTTCTTATGCAAACGCTTTCTTTTGTTCCAATAAATTTGCATAGATGCTGGCCACGTGAGTGAAAACACTCTATATAATGCTGCTGGTAAACATTTCAAACTAACAAGTCTTTTTAGGGCCTGTTTACATGGAGTGGGGGACCCCGGTCTAGTGGGGTTGGTTTCTTTTGTTTTCACGCTCTGGAGGACACAAAAGAAAAGAAACCTACCCCACTAGACCGGGGTCCCCCACTCCATGTAAACAGGGTCTTAGTTTCAATATCAATTTTTACATTTTATACTCTCAGCTACATTCTAGAGCGATAAACCACATAAACCATCTTCAAGAAGATCTAGCCTCTGAATAAATTTCAAACTGTCAAAGATGAAACACAACGAGTTATTACACGTCTACTAAGGCTTTACCCCAAATCGAACTAGAAAATGTAAGTGATTAAATGCAGATGCCATGACGACTTCATTGCCTTGTACAAGAAAGGCGTTGCCACATCTCAAGTTCGGAAAAACTAACTCTTGGCTTTGACCATCACCTAGTTCATTTTTTTTCATAATTCAGCCCGGTAATGGTCTCCAGCTATTAAAAGGGTAAGACCATTATTGCCTCTATGGGTTAAACGGGACCACCCGGACACGACCGGTCACGGATAATGAATTCCTCGATAAAATAATTTTAACAAAGACTATGCACATTTTCCAAAAACTATTGTTAAAGACATCCACGAGGAATGATAGATGATAAAGTAAAGTAAACTTTAAAAAAAAATTGAAAAAAGAAATGCAAATTACTTGGCCACATGATCGATTACGCCCCCTAACCTCCAGTGTTTGAAAATTCTAACTGACGATTCCCACCACTTTCTAAACGTGTAGCTCCAGTTTTTCTATATCAAAGCATTGACCCTACAAAGTGTATGCGAAATCAGCTCGGAACGGTTCCCGAATCATTACAATTTGCAGGGGAAACTGGTGTTCATTGACTACTGCAAGTCCTCTAACTGAAAATATTTTCGTCGGGACGAGACGCGTATGACTTATTTCCATTCCTCTAACTGTTTTTACAAGAAGGGTATTATTAGACACTGTAGACCTACAAAAGGAGAACGGTTTGCTCTCTGTCCAGTGGGCGGTTCAACTCAAAGGATTCCTCGATAAAATAGGGCGTGGTTGATCACGTGATGCAAGTAGTCTACTATGTTGAAACTTAGCCGGATTTTGGATTTCCCTTGGATTTCCTGCATACTAATTTAGATTTCCTGCATACTAATTAAGTGCCTTCCTCCATATATAATGAAGTGGATAGGTTTACTAATGAGCGTCACTCTACTACAATTGGAACAATAGGCCGGCCCAAACTTGCCCGGGCTCTTTTGACCCTGATTGGATAGTAAACAATCTATTATGTGGTTAACAAAAAACACTGATAAAAGCGCGCTTTCCCTTCAGTATTTCATTCTTGCAATCGCTTTCCTAAGAAATAGTTTGTTCGAGTTCGCGTGTTTGAGAAAACCTTTATTCACTTTTTGGGCATCATGGCTTTTATTACCAACGTTGATGAGCTTCAAGCTCTTTTAGATGCCTGTTCCTCGACCCACGATTGGGAATTATCGCTGGAATCTATTTTGATACCCGATGAGTGGATCCCAATGGTGTATGCTCGGCTGTCGGAACTCACCGCTCAAGAGATACCGGTAAGTGTTCTATTCCATTTCTGAGTTCTTTCCTGATGATAGCCTGAATTTCATCCGATTACTTCGAGTCGTTATTACTCCCTCAGTAACGTCTGAATCGACCAGCCGTTAATGCCGTCCAGTGACGTCACTACTCCTTGATCTTTGCTTTAATTCATGCAAAAAGTAAAACACGATTTTCAAGTGGCAAACCGAGAAATATCGTTTGGAAATGTCTGCATGATACAGAATTGCTTTATTTTTCCAATCGTAATTCATGTTTAACGTTCAAACTATCAACTGCATGCAGTACAACTCTGAACCGGTTGTACTGAATTCTATAATCAAACTAGGTCGCAATCACGCAAATGAAATAAACACACACACGAGACAATTAGTTCAAAAACACAGTGATTTGCTTTAATTGAAAAGAAGCTATTTGGTCCTTAACGAAGGAAAAAAACAAGGAAACAAGAAAGAAAAGCTAACAGAATCATTACACTTGACGGTGAAAATAGCAAGAAGGTCGAATTACAACATTGATCTCAGAAAACTTCGCGTAAACAAAATCACCGGCCGCCGAAACCACAAAGCGTCTCTAAATGAAAAACCTACCGACTCTCCGCAATGATTCTTCATTGGCAATTCAATTTAGCATTTCAGTTTCGAAGACAAGGGCAATTTTGCTGATAAAGATTAAGCTTATCGAAATGTTTGAACTACACGAAAGAATGGCAGGGATGCGATCCGCTGAATATCAAGCGACAATCCCGCTAAAATTTTTCCGAATTATACATAATTATGCGAATGTTTAGACAATCAACCAATCAAAATCACTACCCGGTTTTCGGGTAGTGAGTGACGTCACCGGACGGCATTAACGGCCCGTCGATTCAGACGTTGTTGAGAGGAGAAAACGACTCGAAGCAATCGGATGAATTTCAGGTTAATTTCCACCAAGCAGTTGATTGTAGCAATATAGCAGTTATTACTACCCACTCGCTGATCTCTGAAAGTCAATTATATCGTGGATTAACTTATTAAATTAGATTATTATGTTGTTCAATAACAAAACAAACCATCTACCCAACTGTTAAGTTATCACGCTCATTGTAGGAAAATAGAGTTTATCGGAGTTTCTTGCTAGTTAAGGTTTATACTAAGACTAGGTAATAACTAACTGTAGAAAATTCAATCCGGGTAGGTGAACCCGCAGCCAAAAAGCCTCGCAAGGAACATCGCTGCGACACCTGTGGTAAAACTTTCACTCGCCCAAACCACCTAGAGAGTCATCAACGGGTCCATACTGGGGAGAAGCCTCATCAATGCCTGCGCTGCGACAAGAGTTTTCAAACGAAGTCGAATCTAAACAAGCATTTGAAAGCCCACAACAAACAAGCTGCCGAACGTACGTTTACTTGCGCAACCTGTGGAGAAAACTTTCATAACCGCGCCCCTTTCATGTCCGCACCGCTCATCAACAACAACAAGCAGATAACCGTAAAAGCAGCGCTACGACTTCAAATGAAGCACCAGCTGCGAAAAAACCTAAGAAGTCTGCTCATCCTGGTACTCGACAAGCCCCCACTCAAGCATCCGCTGCAACTGCAGGTTCCAGTTGGGAAGCTGATCCTGTTCTTATTCCTTCAAACCTTATTCCTGCCGCGGAGGAAAATATTACTCAGACGTACCGGCAACACTGGCCCCAGATCCGTACCCGATTTAGCCGCCGCAACGGACTTCAAGATTGGTATAATTTTCGCCTCCCGCGAGCAACTGAGCCGAATCTTTGCTGATCAGCCTACCGTCTTCAAAGTCAACTTCGCCTTTGTTTTTATTCTGCGTAATACAGAAACTGGGGCTTTACAGTACCATCACCCGTCTGCCAACAATAATTTGGTGTTGGAACAGCCGTTTCTCGTCTCCAATCAAGATGATTTAGAGCGCTTGTATGACCAAATCAGTAACATCGATTTCCTATAGTGGGTGCGACAACAGAGACCAAATTCAAAATGGGTCATGGGTGTGGTCACTAATGTGACGTGGTTTGTGTTGAAGATCAGGGATCACCCCATCGGTCGAGGAAAATACTTGCCTGGCTACATTGTGGACAATATGGGAATTGAACCTCTGGAAAGCGATGCGAGTACAGGCAAACCCCATGAACATCATCTTTGTTTTTTCCGCTGTCTGACCCTCCACAATGGTTGTCAGAAGAAGAATTTAGAAAAAGACACGAAGTATTATTATCAACAGTACCGAGACGCGGGGTTAGGAAAAAAGAAGTTCCATGGAGTCAAGTTGACCGAACTAGACGACCTAGAAAAATTGTATGAAGTGAATATTCAAGTGTACATTCTCGCGCCTACCCAGAACCGCAGTGAAGACGAAGAAAATTAAGAAAATTCTCCCGAGATTGCCGCTACACTGATCCGCCGCTCACGTCGCCGTTATTCAAGCACACTCTACTTGAACTTGTACGAAAACCATTTTTCGTATATTAAAGATCTCACCCGGTACAGTAAATCCTTTTGCTGGTCTCCCTGCGGCAAGTACTGGAAAGATATGTGGAAATGTCAGCGTCATGAGAAAACCTGTGACGGCAAAGTCCAGCTCAAGTACCCTGGTGGAGCATATCACATCCCTAAAATTATCTTTGAAGAATTAGAAGACGAAGGTATTGTCGTACCAGACGAATGGCGGTACTTCCCTTACCGCGCCACCTTTGATTTTGAATGTTACTTTGATAAAGAGAAAGCGCAAGAATTAAAGAACACTGAAAAGTTAACCTGGCAATCCGCCCATGTGCCCTTAAGTGTGAGTGTATGCAGTAACGTGCCTGGTTACCAAGCACCCAAATGTTTCGTGTTAGAGGGAGATTCAGACCTACTTCTTGAAGCGTTTGTGCAGTACCTCACCAAGATTAGCACCAAAAGTTCATCCCTGCTACGCCAAAGGTACGCAGAAGTATTTGAAGCTCTTGAAACCGCAAGAGGCCCGAATAACAGTGAATCCCACGAAGACTGATTAGCGCAAATACTCGTAGACATCCAGGAAGGAAATGTAGAGTCTGGCGAAGATGAAAATAGTGAAGAAGAGAGAGAAGATGACAGCAGAGGGATTGATTTGCGGGCAAGCGATGACAAAGAAGATGAAAAAGGGATTGAGGCTGAGAATGAAGAAGATCGTGCATTCATTGACGATGAGTCGATCGATGAAAACGACCCCTCCTTTTACCAAAGATTGAACGTTGAAGTGGACAGAGAAAGAAGACAGCAACTGAGACAGATGCGGGACCAGCTAGAAGAGTTACAAGATATTGTAGGTGGTTCAGAGGACGTCAGTGACCACAAAGTCCTCAGTCAACTAGAGGAGAAACTGAACGCCTATATACAACAACTGCCAGTGTTGGGTTTCAATTCCGGAATGTACGACCTGAATGCTTCCAAAGAATTCCTGTTCCCGTACCTCATGAAGCATCAGCCCATCAAGTTTACTGTGAAAAGGAATAATAACAATATGTGTATCAAGACAGACTCTTTAAAGTTTCGCGACATCTCTAATTATTTCGCCCCAGGTTTCAGCTACGATCAGTTCCCTGAAAGCGTACGAGTGCGAACAGACCAAGGGATTTTTCCCATATCAGTGGCTAGACAAGTTGGACAAGCTAGAAGAAACATCGCTGCCCCCACACGCTGCCTTCTACTCAAGTCTGATGAACGCTAACATCACGGGTGAAGAGTACCGATACTGCCAGCAAGTATGGGAAGACAATGAAATGTCCACCTTTAAAGATTTCTTGGTTTGGTACAATAATCTGGATGTAGTACCTTTCCTCGAGGCAGTAGAATAAATGAGTCAATTCTGGCAAGAGAGAAAGATTGATATGTTTAAAGATGGGATTTCTGTGCCTGGTCTCACCCTTAAGTACCTCTTCTCATACCTCTCACCTCAAACTTGCTACAGTCTCTTCCATCAAGCGAACAGCGATCTCTATCACCTCATTAAAGACAACAACACAGACGGCCCAAGTATTATTTTCCACCGACATCATGAAGCAGGCAAAACAAAGATCAGAGAAGCAGAGGAAGGCGAGGCTGCTAAGCTCTGTGAAAAAAATCATCGGTTACGATGCAAATGCGCTTTATCTCTGGGCGCTGATGGAGGACATGCCCACGGGAAGTTATACGAGACGCTTAGCAGAGCATGAGTTCAAACCTAAAAGCTCTATCAAGCTGGCGATTCAATGGTTAGAATGGGTGGCGCACCAAGACAGAATACATATCAGACATCAGCTGAACAATACAGAGAAGTGCATTGGGCATCGTAAACTTCCCGTCGACGGTTTCAATTTTGAGTCACAAACTGTGTACCAGTTTCAGGGGTGTAATTGGCACGGCCATGACTGCGCTCTTAACCGCGGAAAAGAAGTTAACGAGAAACAAAACAGACCTATGACGGAACTGCTGGAAGAAACTAGAGCCAACACCGAGTATATTTGAAGCAAAGGCTACCGTGTCGTGGAGATGTGGGAATGTGAATGGCGCCGGATGAAGAGAACCAACCGAGAACTACAGCGATTCATTGCCACCGAAGTAAGAAGAACCTTGGATACCATCAAGATTATGAGCTCGGAGCGAATTTTGAGCGAGGTGCGACAAGACCGTTTGTTTGGTTGCGTTGAAGTGGATATTCGTGTGCCTGAACATTTGAAAGAGAAATTCAGTGAAATGTGCCCCATCTTCAAAAACACCAACATCAGCCGCGATGATATTGGAGACTTCATGAAAGCGTACGCAGAGGAGCATAACATCATGGCTCAGCCTCCGTGAAGCTTGATTGGNATACTGCCAGCAAGTATGGGAAGACAATGAAATGTCCACCTTTAAAGATTTCTTGGTTTGGTACAATAATCTGGATGTAGTACCTTTCCTCGAGGCAGTAGAATAAATGAGTCAATTCTGGCAAGAGAGAAAGATTGATATGTTTAAAGATGGGATTTCTGTGCCTGGTCTCACCCTTAAGTACCTCTTCTCATACCTCTCACCTCAAACTTGCTACAGTCTCTTCCATCAAGCGAACAGCGATCTCTATCACCTCATTAAAGACAACAACACAGACGGCCCAAGTATTATTTTCCACCGACATCATGAAGCAGGCAAAACAAAGATCAGAGAAGCAGAGGAAGGCGAGGCTGCTAAGCTCTGTGAAAAAATCATCGGTTACGATGCAAATGCGCTTTATCTCTGGGCGCTGATGGAGGACATGCCCACGGGAAGTTATACGAGACGCTTAGCAGAGCATGAGTTCAAACCTAAAAGCTCTATCAAGCTGGCGATTCAATGGTTAGAATGGGTGGCGCACCAAGACAGAATACATATCAGACATCAGCTGAACAATACAGAGAAGTGCATTGGGCATCGTAAACTTCCCGTCGACGGTTTCAATTTTGAGTCACAAACTGTGTACCAGTTTCAGGGGTGTAATTGGCACGGCCATGACTGCGCTCTTAACCGCGGAAAAGAAGTTAACGAGAAACAAAACAGACCTATGACGGAACTGCTGGAAGAAACTAGAGCCAACACCGAGTATATTTGAAGCAAAGGCTACCGTGTCGTGGAGATGTGGGAATGTGAATGGCGCCGGATGAAGAGAACCAACCGAGAACTACAGCGATTCATTGCCACCGAAGTAAGAAGAACCTTGGATACCATCAAGATTATGAGCTCGGAGCGAATTTTGAGCGAGGTGCGACAAGACCGTTTGTTTGGTTGCGTTGAAGTGGATATTCGTGTGCCTGAACATTTGAAAGAGAAATTCAGTGAAATGTGCCCCATCTTCAAAAACACCAACATCAGCCGCGATGATATTGGAGACTTCATGAAAGCGTACGCAGAGGAGCATAACATCATGGCTCAGCCTCCGTGAAGCTTGATTGGAAGTATGAAAAGAGAAAAAATCTTGTTGGCCACACCCCTCCTCAAATGGTACTTAGAACATGGCCTGGAAATCAGCAAAGTGCACCAAGTGGTTGAATTCACCCCTGAGCCCTGTTTTAAACCCTTTGTAGACGCTGGGGATGCTGTTTCATTCTTTCATTCATAAAGAGGTGGGAACAATATACATTTTCACGAATAGAAAAAACTTGTATCTTTGTTTATCTCTCAGGTGGGGAATTCAGACTATGGTAAGACGATCACTAACCAGTTGAACCACAGAAACGTGGAGTATTGCAGTGATGCCGAAGCGAGTCGAAAAGTCAACACTCCCCTGTTCCGGACACTGGATAATATCACAGAAGACACTTACGAAGTAGAGTCTTGTAAGAAGACCATTAAGTTAAACTTACCTATTCAAGTCGGTTTTTTTGTGTATCAGTATGCGAAGTTACGCATGCTGCAGTTTTATTATGATTTTCTAGACAAGCATCCCGATCGCAGCGATTTTTAAATGTGTGAGATGGATACGGATTCAGCGTATATTGCCATTTCAGGGGAGAGTGTGGAAAGTTTAGTCAAACCAGAATTGAAAGCAGAGTTCAAAGCCGATAAATGTAACTGGTTTCCCCGTACGGATACACCCGAGCATATAGCGTACGATAAGCGAACCCCAGGTCTTTTTAAGGTTGAGTGGGAGGGACAAGGAATTATCGGGTTGTGTTCAAAAACCTACTACTGTTTTGGGGCCAAACATGAATTTTCTTGCAAAGGAGTTAACAAGAATTGTAACGAGATTAAGAAAGACAAGTATTTACAAGTGTTGCTCACAACACAGAATAGTTCAGGTGTCAACAGAGGTTTTCGTGTTGTTAACAACACGATGTACATTTATGAGCAAGTTAGGGATGCATTTTCGTATTTTTACCCGAAACATAATGTTCTCGCAGATGGAGTTAGCGCCACTCCACTCGACATTTAAGTTTTCAAGTTGGTAAAAATTGATTTTGTAAATAATTTTCGTTTTCTCAAGTTTGCATATATATTACTCTCAAAAATAGTTTTCCGAAATATTTACATAAGATCGCCTCTAGTTGTAAATAGTATTTTTGCGTAGCTTTTTACGGATGTTTGTACATAGGAAATTAGTTTGTAAATAAATCATTGGTTGAATTTAATCGTGGCTTCTTTCCTGACTCGACGCGCACGACTTACACGCGAGATCTCCACGCGCGCCCAGGGGAAAAAACACAATGCTAGAATGTGGCGTTTTTGGCTGTCGTTTCGTGTTAAATTAAAGACAAATTTTGTGTTACAAACAGTTTTGTTCAGTTGGAATCAAACTTTCACAGAGATAACATGGTGCGGAGGAAGTGTCAACATTGCCGATACCAGGTTGCGGGTCAAAATTTTTAGTTTGATTGGCAGATCAGTTAACTCGAGTCCACGAGTTATCTGAACCGGAACGAAAATATTGGCTACAGTTTGCTAAACTACAAAACACCAATGTAGTTCGTGTTTACGAGAAAGAGGCTGAACCTAAAACAATTTTTCTATAAATGAGAGTACGCACAATTCAGCTAATCAGTTGTGATCATGGACCCGAGATGGAAACATCCTTTCCCCGCGCCTTTGGCCGGCCCAACATGTTGTGGGAAAAGTCAGTTTGTAAAACGTTTACTTGAATCGGGGGAAAACATGATTGATGGTGCCCCCGAAAATATCATCTGTTGTTATAGCATGTATCAACCAGCCTACGATGAGATGCTTAAAACTATTCCGAACATTATGTTTGTTAAAGGAGTGCCTGGTGATCTGGAAACCCTAATTAACCCCTCTATTCGGAATTTAGTCGTCATTGATGACTTAATGCACGAGCTTAGCAATGATCAGCGAATGACCCATTTGTTTACCAAGGGCTGTCACCATCGCAATCTCAGCGTGATCTTTATTCTCCAAAACATTTTTCATCGTGGAAAACAACTGAGAGATATGAGTTTGAATTGTCATTACTTAGTGGTGTTCAAAAGCCCGCGTGATAGTAGTCAGGTCAATCATTTAGCAAGACAAATGTTTCCCAGTCATGTCAAATACATGCAAGAAGCGTTTGAGGATGCAACAAAAAGGCCCTATGGATATTTATTTTGTGATCTTAAACCGGAAACACCTACTGACTTCCGGCTGCGTACGAATATTTTCCCCTGGGAGACTCAGTACGCTTACGTCAGAAAAGTATAAAAAGCGTGAACCACATCAAATTTCTTCAGTTGAGGATGGCACAGTGACTTAGAAAGAACCACGATTTTCTGAGGCTGCTTGTCAAGTGTACCCCAGCTCAGCGTAAAGCCATTTTGAAGGTGGCAGACGACGCTTTAGTAAGAACCATTTGTGATTGTGTTTTTAACGTGCTTAAAGGAACAGTGCCTGTCAGTAAGGCAGCCAAGAAAAAACTTTTACCTCACAAGAAATCTTTGATCGCTTTAGCCGAAAAAAGTACACCATCGATAAGAAAAAGAAATTCGTGGTACAACACGGAGAAAATTTTTTAAGTGTTTTGCTACCTCCCGTTCTCCTCTTGTTAAGTTCGATTCTTACCTAAAATGAATCACACAAAGCGTATGGTGCTTGTCCCCGAGAACACCTTGGAAAGATTATGGCAACGCCAGCAGATTTTAACCCCACCCGTCACACAAACTCTGAGAAACTTGGATAGTGAAATGACCGATATTTTATCCAGTAAAGAACTTGATGATGAACAAAAAGCTAGGCTTTACAATCAAGTGTTGCAGCGGTACTTGACTTATTACGATCAGCGAAAAGGTCAACCTCTTCATGTGAAAATATCAACCCCCAAAACAGTAGAAACACCTAAATCCGAAGAGAATGAGCAACCGACGGAAGAACCTGCGCCAGGAAAAGCTATTTCATCAGCTGTAGAGCGGGAAGTCATGAAAAGTGTACCCAAAATTTACCAAGCCGGGGCTAGACAATTGTTGGATAAAATAAAAGAGCATCAAGATGTCTTGCATTGGAATGATAAAGGAGAGCTGTTGTATGAAACCAAACCCATTCCAGGCTCTCATCTGGTGGACCTAGTCAACGACACATTGCGCCACCGCAAAGGATTTGAACCAGTAGGATGGTCGGTGTTCGCGAGGGGTCTGACGCGAATGAATGTCCCGGAAAATCTAGTGCGTAATCCACAGAGGCAAAGTGCTATTCGAGAATTTAAAGCAAGGGTGAGAGACGAAACCCCTAACAGTCCTTCCCGTTGGCTACTTAGCCCACCTGTGACGGTTTCCCCCGTGAAAAAGTAGCGGCGAAGAAACGCGAGTCCGCGCCCTGAGGCTGTGCGCTGGTTACGGTTATAAATCGCCACAAGAGACATTATTATTATTATTATTATTATTATTATTATTGTTATTATTATTGTAAATCATCTCTTTATTTTGTTCATTCAATAAAAGACGTTGAAAAGAAATTACAAGGTGTTTGTTTATTGAACGTTGTGCTGGCTGTGCTTGTGCTCTTTGCTTGTTTACATCAGTGCGATATTTCGGAAGACTTATAGGAAAATGTTTTTCAATAAATCGCTTGACAAGACTATCATTTTTACGTGTGTTATTAGAAAAACGATGCACAATAGTACTCATACTTATTTGCTGAATACCATATAAAGCAAAATACAAACAGTAATGTCCGCACACTTTGGAATAGATGCTCTGTAATGTCACAGTATTAAAAATCCACTGGTTAGAATTGTTGTTTAAAAAGCTAGTAAATGTTCCTGAATATTTGCTGGGAGGTGCTCCGTAAGAATCGAAAAATTCTCCCTCTTGCTCCTTGGTGAAATAAAACGCCACCCAATGCGAACCTGGCTTGTCACTCGTATCCACATTGGCGATGTATAGGGCTGGGTATTGCGAAACACTTGCAGGCAGCTTGTCTGAGGGATACACGCCTTGAAACACACCTCGTGTAAATTTATCCTTTCTCAAAATAAGAGTCAGTTGAATGGTGTCCATTGTAGTTTGTGTAGTCGTAAAGAACGTTTCGGTTTGCGTCGAACTCAATCACGTTTTGAAATTCAGCGTAGACGATAAGGTTAACCGTGTTGGCGAGTGCTTCCGAGAAATGAAGCTCCAAGCGCAGGTTTCCTTGTTTTATGACCTCAAAATGATCTCCCGGGCAGTGATCTGGGGTCAAATCAAATGCAAATAAAGTGTAACCAGAGCCGTAATCACTTCTATTTATCTGATTGCCCACATCTTGGGAAATCCTTCCAATACCAGAGAAAAGACTTTGATAACCGGCTATAACATTTTGACCACCAGCGGCGTCAAAATTCAGGAACAAAGGTTTTCGGGGAATTTGTTCTCCGTCCACGTACACACCCACTTGAGTTAAGTTGTGGTGTTTGAAGTAGAAGGGGTTGGTACGATAACTCCCATTGTAAGCCTCTGTGTCCACTAATCC